TGGAAGGAGGGCTATACTCTCCAGATCTGGAACTAAGACGAACCCTGGTCGTTTGTTTTTGGGATGCGCTAATTGGAAAGTGAATAATTGTGGATTCTTCAAATGGGTGTCTGATGAAGAGGAGTTTGAAGGTTCAAAGGCAAGGCTTGTTCAAACGAAGCAGTCGAGCGTGATCCTGCAAGTTTCAAGTGTCGTGTCAATTGGAGAAGTTCGGGAAAAGAGAAAGATTGAAATTGATATTATGGAATTGTTGAAGCTTGTTGTATTTGTTCTTTTATTCGGTATTTTTCTTGGATTTTTATTTGGTATTTTTATTGGATTTGTGCTAAGTAGGGTGTAAGAATGTATTATTGGATGAGTAAGATTTGTATTTGATATGATAAATTTGGTCTTTTATTGGATTTGTGCTAAGTAGGGTGTAAGAATGTATTATTGTATTTGTACTAAGTGGATGACTAAGATTTGTATTTGACTGTGCTTAGCAAGGTAACCAGAAGGTAAGCTCCTTGATCAGACTGTCAAAAGATGTGCACAAAAGAAAATTAGGAACCACAGTTTGTCAGATGCTCAAATCCAGTAGTTTTTCACTTGGTTTTAGAGAATTAGATTTATTTACCAAACTGGAACAGCATGAATTGAAGCAAAAACTCAGAAACTTTCTTAAAATGTGCATCCCTAATTTAAGAGGTTAAGAAAGTACCACTTCCTTCCAACATTCACACTAAAATTTATACAACACGCTTATATTAAGAGCTTAAAATGTGCGTCCTCGATTAATTTTAATGCGTTATAGGTTGGTTTGTTCAGTACACCACCCACCATCATAATCTAATCAATGTAAGTTTCCCTGCCACAAAAAGACCTTAATAATCTTTCACTCATATCTACCGAACAACTATAACCTAGAAACTTATCAGTTATTCCTTAACAACCAAGATACCTTTGGTTCTTTACGATCATGACCTCAATCACATACAAACGTCTACCACTTTCTAATGCATTGACAACTTGCAGAATTCTTCAGCAGTAGAATCTTAGGAGTTAAATCAAATTTTCAGCAACCAGTAGAGATAACAGCGAACTCATAAACCTTGCTATCCTAGTCTCACAAAACATCTAGCTAAGCATTTTTCCCCCACCTCTTAACATTCTATCAAACAAGTAACGGTAAAAAGTACAAAATCCTACATTGCTTACTAGGAGTCACTCAACCAAACAAAAACCTCATGAAAATAAAAGAAGGTTAGGTGCTCCATGAGGTACTATTATATGTCCAAGGGAGAATAGATCTTTACATCATAATACACAAAAATATAGCCACACAAAATGGGGCTCATTGAAGAAAAACTACATAAAAGAATTGAAAAAGGAAAGGGAAGAACTAAGAAACATCAGCATACGCAACTGAATCCTCTCGCAAAAAAAAGGAGGAGGAGATTTAGATATCTCGCCTACAAAGCGGGCAAGAGCCATGCCTGATAAGCCAACTGTCAATGCACTGCAAGTGAAACATATGCCGACAGTGAGGCAAGCACCTTGCCGTTTCCCCAGTTTGGAAGTCAGCCACCATCTAACAGCTATGCATTCTTCAAATAATACAGAAAAAAAAATACTTACTATTCCTACTTTCATCACATTTCATGCCATCTTTGCCTTTGAAAGATCCTTCTTTCGCTGCCCTAGCATGTAAGTATACATGTGTGGGCTCCCTATGACAAGATGTGTTCCAGCAAAAGCCAATCAGAGTACTCCCATGGATGAAGCTTAACACTTACTTCAGAAATCAACGTACGTTTAATTTACACAATCAAATGAATAAAGCCAAGTTAACATTTCCTCCAAAACACGAAATTTTTTGAACATAAAGCTCTCAAAATATGTCCATAAACAAACCTGAAGGCAAACAGATAGCAAATTTTCTCTCCAAAGTCATCACCATTGTTCTGCTTCGAAATCTTACTCTTTTCAAGCTTATTAACGGAATCCTTCGACATGCCTCCAGTGCCGCCGGTCTCAAAAATATCAAGAACCTCATTGAAGGGAGCATCAACAGCACTCATCTACAATGAACAATATCCTCAGAAAAAACACGAGTCTTATACTATGATGCATGTTTCATTACCCAGTAAATGTTAAAATATACCTGACTCTGCACTGCGCTCTGAACCGCAGGGCCAACCTTCTCTCTGACAAGCCTCCCACTCAAAAGGCTAGCGAGGATGTCAATCTGCAAGCAATCAATTGCATAAGATGAATACAAATATCGCAAAATGTATCCCTTGTGAAAATGAATTGGGTTTATATTCGAAATTACCACATAGAGGATGCTCCATATACCAGAATCATTCGAATGCCAAAGGGCAAGAGAAGATTCAACGACTTCAATAGAGAAAACAGCACCAGAGATCGCCCCGATTCCGGCCCCTCGAAAAAGCCCACTCTCAGTAGCCAATCCAATTACCCCACCAGTAATCGCTCCTACAACTGAACACACTGTTCAAAAACAACAAAGATCAAATTTTGATCAGAAAAACTAAATTAAGACACAAATTAATTGGGACCCAACTCAAAAATTGAGACAAATCACAAACCTGTAGCAAAGACACAGGTGACAATAGCGCATATGATCTTTTCAGCACCCATTGACTCATAAAAATCACATTTAAGTCATCCAGACAACAAAATTGGTAACTGTCCTTACCTTAATTAACCACCTCAGCCACTTCTCTCAGAAATCGAAAACCGACACTGTGAGCTGTAAACGTTATTCGGGTGAGCGTAGAAAACCCGGTTGTGATAGTGGATTTCTCCCCGGGAGTGGGGAGCGGAGACGTAGGACGGAAGGTCCGAACTCCGTGATCATATTGCTTGTTTGAGTGTGCTTTGGCGTTCATTCATATTTATGTTCATATCTTATATCGCCATTGTCATTAGCTCATTATCTATATCATCCACTATCTAGTTCATATTGTTTACCCTTGTGTTAGTTTTATATCCTTGCACATACATTGTCTATATCTCTTTGTTAGGATATATCTTATTGTTTATATATCCTTGCATATATTTCTATCATATAGGATATATCACCTTGTGTATATTGCATATTCTTGCACATAACTCTTTGTATATCTATCTTGCAAGAATAAACTTGTTAATTAGTTTTAATTGGCACTTAATCGGATTAGATTAGCTTAAGACCCTAATCACCCCCCCTCTAGGGTCTAACACCTGCAACAATATAAACACAATGACAACAAGTTAGATTAGGTGTACATTAAACCTAGAGACATTGTAAAACATGAATGAAACAGTTAGAATAAACATGTTTGAATTCAACTTGACAAACTCATCAACAACATACATACCTTCAAATCATTGAGATATATATGGCTTGTTTCCATGTGCATTGTTGATGTTGATATACCTGAATTTGACATTTGTTCTTTAAAGAAACATGATGATAAATCAAACATTGAGTTACGGTTACAGAGGCATTTAATAGGAGTAGTTAAGCAGGACATAGGACATACCTTTTCATGACCCTTATCTATGTGTAAATTATGTGGACATTTCATGGAATTATTTGAATTCAAGACTTTCATAGGGATAGAATACCGAAATAGGGCATATCTTTAATCTTTAATAATAGTAATAGGTAATAGATATATAGTATGGAATAAGTGCCGCTCATATCATCAAATGCCGAAATTGATCTTAAAAATGATAAGCCATAAACATATGGTTGAACTGAAGGTAGCCTTGCATTTTAGTTCAATCTAGAAATCTGAAAGAGAACATAGTATTAAGTCATGAGATGCATTAACAGAAGGATATACTTATAATGGATGTGGCAATAATAGAACAATATAGTGAATGAGAAAATACTATTATACTTTCTGCTTTGTCTTCGAAACTCAATTGCCTCTTGGGTTTGTACTGTATAAAGGGCATATAACTCGTCCTTAACATTCACATCTGCTAGGTGGATTTCACCGTTGTGACAACAGGATGTTGGTGGCTCGTGTTCAAACTTTTTTGCTCCACAAAATGAACAAGACTTTGGAGTGCATAGTTTATGTAACAAAGAACATACTGGTTCATGGTTAATTTGCCCTAGAAAGAAAATATTAGTTTTTAGTATTAAATAAATTTAGATCTATAAAATCGTGTAATTATTTTAATAAATTATAAAATTATTAAAAAATAATGAAATATACTATTAATAAACACATATACACAAAACAATAATAATATATATTTATGTTTATTTCAAACCTTGGTTTGAAGTCATTTGGAAGAAGGTGCTCTTATGCAAATGTATGGTGATTATGCAATCCAAGAATTAGAATGTAAATTTCTACAAGAAAAAGAAAATTTAATGCATTAAATTATTAATTATATTTAACATAAGCAGAGCAATGAATATAATTTGAGAGAATAAGTATATTTTAATTGATATTCAATAGTACTTGATTTTTTTTTCTTGAGAAATTTGGTACACTATACATGCATCATTAATCACAAATAAAGAGAAAAGAAAAGGAAGTTGCTTCACTCACCTGGATCACCCACAACCTTAGAACTGATTTTGAGAAACACAACGCAAATCCAACCAATTAAAATGTCTGCATTTATATGGAAAAATGTTAAATTATTTAATCTAGACGTAAAAGTGTATTATAAAAGTGCACATCATTTCAAACATCATTTCTGAATTTGTTGTTTGAAATGCTAGCTGTTAGGAATTTAAAACTGTGAAATGATGATTCGTGTAAGTGATTGATCAGAAAATTAGGTGATCATTTATGATGAACTGACACGAAGGAGGCACATACACATCAGAGACCTGATATATGGATATGGAAATCCGTGAAAAACTTGCGCACTAATATGGCGAATTATTTGGTTTGGTAAATACTGGGCGTCGCAAAACATATTTCTAGATATCTTGAGTTTTGTTTATGTTTGGATTATATCTGCTAATATCTCTAGGTATTAGGGTCCTTCACGCTATTTTTCTTAATGAAAATAATTGTAGCAGAAGCTCCATATTTATCTCCATAGAATAAGTTACATGTCAATTCAATATTAATATCAACAGAAATGCCTCCACCAGTCTTTTTATTGAGAGAGAGGGAGAGAGACAGAGAGAGGGAGAGAGAGAGAGAGAGAGTGTGTGTGTGTATATATACACATACATACACACACACATGGACAGTGCCTTTGCATTTAGTAGAACAAATACAAACAAAAAGGTCCAACCTTGAAAAGAGATCTGATTTGATCTAGAAGGCAATTTGATCTAGAAGGCAATTCTCCCTCTGACCAGTACCTAAAAGAACTAAACCTACAGTATGAATGCCAAGACATTTAAAGTGTCGTTCTCAAAAAGAGGAAATAAATATTGCATAGGTTCATTCTGAGAGAGCATTTTGTGTATAAAGATTAGGAATGTATCAAGCAAAGGGACATAAAGGAACATGGATCTAAAATTATTTCTGACATATATTTGCCCATGTATATTTTAACTAATCAAATGAAATTTGTGAAATTTCTGACTTCTAAATGAAACAGAATTCGTTTAGGATTTAGGCGTATAACTTGAAGCTTTTATAAACTGGACACTACACCAAGAAATTTTGTAAAAAGCTTTATCACTTCAAAGTTCAAACATGTGATATCAAAAGTTGATCGGTTATGAGAATCTGTCAACAAAATAAATTCTACTTCCCAATGGAACCAGAATTTACTATTTGATGCTAATAGGAAACATTCTACGCCTAACAAACTTAGCTCACAATCACAACATCAAAAAGCCAAAACATGAAGTAGTGACACATGCAAACCTAGCAGATAAATCACATCCATAAAAATTGAGATAGTTTTAGAATCCAATTATAACCTTAAGTATCCAGCTCCAATTACTCAATTTACAGAGCAAAATTCTCAAAAGGTATCAAATTCAAAAAATTAAAGGATTTTGAGGGGTTTAACCAAAAAAAGCTCAAAACATCCTCTCAAATATGAAACACCATGCTATCTAATTAACCATACTTTATTAATTCTTCAGAATTTATAATGGTGGACCCACTAATAACTCTCGGCAGTGACTGCATATGGCAGAAAAGGGAAAGAACACAAAGGAAGAACAAACGAATATCGCCTGGAAACATCCATTTATTTCATGAATACAAGAATATACAATATATAAAAGTAGAAAAGACTGGAAAAAGATTCAAAAACAGGAAATCCCAAGATTCAGTTTCAGTAGCTCATTCAAATTTTAATAAATTAAATGATGACTGTCTATTAAAAAACTATGGCACCAACCTACCATTCACCTCCCCCTACGCCCCCCTACCCGGCACCCCTTTCAAACAAAGTCAAAAAGAAATGGGAAAAAACTCACTTGCTGCTTCTAGATATCATACAAGCAACCAACCAGCAAAAATGGAAAATAAATAAATAAAAAACAAATTCAAACTACAATTATATTTGTGTGGGTGTGCAAGTGCATATTGTGGTCATGCATGGTGTGTGGTCAAAGATTTTGAAACTTTTATGGATTAACCTCCAACTAACGCATCAAATCTTTAATTCCAGTAACACAACCAAATTCAACAAATCAACAACTTTAATTGCCAACAATCAACTAATGAAATAAAGACCCTAATCAACTATTTGTCCTAAACAAGCCTCGTTTTCTATGCATAAACATCTCATCTCCAAGAAATAATTCAAATTAATATTTAATATAAAAAACACGAGAAAATATATGGAGTGCTTAAGAGGAAATTACGTGGATCTTGAGTTTGGAATACCTTGTTAGATATCAAGGATAGGTTTCATGAAGGAGTACTAAGTTAGTTGCATTTACATGTCTTGGTAGCCTTTCTTGAGCGGCTTAAGGTAGATTTCAGAAAGAGATATGGAGGTGGTAAGGCTGACACGGTAACTGCCAAAATTATCTATAAATAATTTGGGTGTGTTTTCTTCTCTTTTCTTTGTTTAGGAGGTCCTTTTCAATTTCTATGTATCATCGGGGATTCTCATGATATCATGTTTTCTATTATTTGCAGATCAATTATAAAGGAACATATGCAATATATTCTTGAGCATGCCCACAAGATACAAAAGGTTTTAAAAGTTAAGGCCCAAGTTTCAGAAATCAAAAGCATCATGTTGTAAAACATTGAGAAGGTTTGTACTTTGTTTCACCGTCCGCTTCATCAATACCTACCATAGATTGTATATGATTAATTGTAGTGTTAATATTCTTAAATTTTGTCTGCTTGTTATGTATTTTCCCTTTTTTTCTACTATTCCATGTATATTAAAAAAATATTGTAGGAGTGCTAAGTATGTCGTATAAAAACCGAATATATTCTACTATACAAACAATTTAAAGTTTGAAAGTTTCCTGGGAGGTAAAAAGATGTAGATAATCTTGTAAAAAATTATTAGTTTGGGAGAACTTAAACTAATTGTAGCTATATAGTGTCTCATCCATTAGCCTTTATTGTAGACTGCACCATAGATGGATCAATATCAGTGGATACACAAATAATATTAAGAAGAAATCAGACACAAATTTAAGCAAATAACTCACCACATCCAACTCTTCCACCAGCATTTCCGTGGCA